TCCTCAAAAAAAGTGTGAAACTTAACATGAAGAACAAAAAAAAATATGTAGCAATTCCTACATGGAAATTGCTAAAATTTGGAGAAATGGTACAAATTTGTTTCCAAAGGTTTGCATGGCTTTTGAATGAATATTACAGTATTGGGGATGTCTATTTTGATTGTGTATTTAAGCTCTACTTTAAAAAAGGTGTATGTTCTTAATGTATTTTTTATCCTACCTTTACTGTAATTTTCATAAATAACTTAAGGCGGTTAGTGGACATACATAAAACTTCTTCCTCCTATTTTCCAAATTGGAAAAGTCACAGTCAGCTTTCACTAAGTTTTATCAAGAGGCTTTATAGTTTAAACAAACACAGTTGTTATCTTAATTAACTTATTTTAAAAAACTCATTTTAATATATTGTTGCATTATATATGCATAAATTGCCATCTGGCCTTCATTAAGCCTCTGAAAAAAGATGTTTTCTAAACAGAATTTGCTTCCATGTCAGCAAATGATATCTGTGGTAGGCATGGATGGAGCACATATACTTGATGGCCAATTTTAAATACTGCCACTTAATTTTCTTCTGTTTTAATCTCCATTTGAGTTTCAGACTGATAGAACTCATTTCATTTCTAATGAGTATGAGTAATGAGCAACAACTAAGCTGCTGAGATGTGTAGCTAACAACCGCCAGGGAAATCAGGAGATTCAGGCAGTTCAAATGAATATGAAATTTATTGCAAGCTTAAGCTCTCTACAAAAATCTGACCTACTATCGAGGAAAATAAAAGGGTATAAGAAGGCATTCAAGGTGGGCTGGATTTAGTTCTCTTGCAGGAACATAGGTACTCGTGACTTATGATTCGTTTGATCAATTTCCCTTGGGCACAACTTGATCATCTCCTACAATGGCTTTTAAAATTGTTGTTAAAACTTTACTAGCTTCTCATAAAATAATCTAAAATTAATTCGGATCAGCAAACTATATCCTATATGTTTGCCTTTATTATATATTAAATTTCTGGGCTTATATTTTCTTTAAATTTCTAGTCTCACATTTTCTAGAAATAAACCTTGTATAGTATTAGATCCATTTATAAATAAACTTTGTATTGAAATTGTTTTATGAGTTATATTTTCATTCCTCATCTTTTAGTTGACAGGGAAGGGGCTAAAACACATTGTTAACTACAAGAAAAAGGGGTTTTCCTCATATTTCAGAGGTTAAGAATCAGTATTATTAGTGTCTGGAACTTTGCTCATTTTTCTTCAGTTTTATAAGTTTGAACTGGAATTGTGAGAAAAATGAAAGTTATAAAATTAAATTTCAAATATTAAAAGCTTCTTTTTTTAACTAATTTCTAGATTAATTATTAAATATTAATATTGCAATGAACAAAAAAGGTAAATTTGTTATAGGACAGTCATACAACTGAGAGCATCTAGAGCCATGATGGCGAACCTATGGAATGCGTGCCACAGGTGGCATGCGGAGTTCTCTTTGTGGGCATGCGAACCATCACCCCAGCTCAGCTGCACTGCGCATATGTGCGCACCTTCCGCTGGCCATTTGATTTTTGGGTCTTTGGTGTGTATGCAGGAGATGGGTGTGCATGCGCGAAGAGAGCATGGAAGTACAGTGTCCCCCTGCACTCCAGTTGTGGTCCCAGGAGGCTGCAGGGAGACCTGCTAGACCCAAAACAGGGTGTGGGGGGTCACACGCATGTACAGGGGAGGAGGAGCATGTCGTGCATGCATGCACAGGAGGTGGGCCATGTCAGGGGGTATCACGTGTGCATTGCATTATGGGTGTAGGCACGCATGTGCTGTTGCGTGCGCACGTACTATTTTGGCACGTGAGGACGAAAAGGTTATTCATCACAGATCTAGAGAATTGTTCTTTACCTGTGTGTTTTGAGTATATTATAGGAAATATCACTGAGAGAAGCTGCTGTTTGTTACTGTTTTTCACTCATTAATTTTATAACTCTTAATATTGTATGTGGGGTGTGTGCGTTTTACTGACATTTAGTTCTCCTTTTATGGTGTATAATATAAGCTATTTTGGAGGATTTATCCTCCAGCCTCTTGGCTGATTTAGTTTCTGCTTTATTTTTCTTGCTGAATAACGTCAGTTATTGAGCCAAGTTTAATATTTTGTAGGTGGAAGAGCACAATTTCAGTACTTTTTTTCGGTGTTGTTGTTAGTGAAAGTTTAAAAATACCAAAAAACTACACAAGCTAATCCAGTATTTGGGGGGGGGGGGGATTTGTATGATCACATACTTGCATCTTATTTTATGATCATTTTTTTCTATGTCTATTAGTCCCAAACAAAATGCCTCTGTTTCCAATTGTTCTTTAAAGTCTTCTGAATCAATATATGCATCTCTATCTTTTTTATTTTTTTTATTTTTTCACACCTCCATCAAATATAGTAAAATGTCCCTTCATGCTGCTCATGTTTCCCACAAAGAGTCAAAGCATCATTGTATGTTTCAGGCAATTACTCTGGTGACAAATACCAACAATACATCATTTTATTTTTTTAAAAATTGTTTAAAGTTAGAAGTTAAAGTAAATTTCAAATCTTTCAGCCACAAATTTTTCCAATTGTTCCACTGTATATTATAACCAACATTTTAAACCCATTTTATCAAAGAGGTAGTCCTTGAAATACAACTGGTCACTTAACAGTATACAAAGTTATAAAAGCTCATAAGCTACTTATCATTTCAAAGTTACAGCCACTGCAGCACCCTGTGGCCATTTGCTCTGACTGACCACAGGGATGCTAAAGCAACCCCCATCCCCCCCCAACTCCCATCCCGCTCCTCCAGGATTTGGGGCTACTTACCACATGCCCATCACCCATCACACACTTATCTTTTGAAGATCTCCAAATCTAATATTGGCCAGGCCAACATGTGCCTGCCACATAGCTGCCTTCAAGAAGCATCTGTTATTTTCAGCATGTCCACAATTTCAATGACCAAGTGACAGACCACTCTATTTTCCTGCATTAATGTGGTCTTCACAGTAATTTTAATATTAATATCTTAACATTACTTACATTTTAAATATTTTAAATATTTAACATATTTGTTCAAAGTTCTGTTGAATGAATTGCTCTCAGTCACTACTTCTTCATTTGCAGCATCCCAGGACCATTCTTTTAACTGTGTATAATATAACTTCTATTCCAATGAATCTACCATGTTTATCAATTAATAAAACTTCTGGATTTAAGTGAGGATTAATATTCAAAATAATTCAATTTCTCTTTTTAATATATGCTGAAATAAATTCTTCACCCAAGGTCTCTTGTAGACAAATAATGTCTTGCTTTAATTTTTTCAAATAATGATTCCCGCCCCCTCTTGAGAAGCATGTTAAAACATTTATAATTCATAATCCAAGAATTTAGAAAAGTCCATATCTTTAGCGCCTAGTTTAATATCTTTTTCCAATTTCTGTTGCCTCTACTGTGACCATTGTGTTGATATTTATGAAGCTTCCATCTCTTCCAATTCTCCTTTCTGTCTTTCTAAAAATTTCTCTTGTCTTATGGACAGAATTCAATTTAAGTCTTTTGCTTTTAAAAATAAAAATTGTGCTTTCCAGTTTATCTCATCAAAATGAGATCTGTTTCTGTTTTAATTTTTGACCAAGAAACAATTTTCTTTCTCTTACACAAAATCCTAATAGGAATCCCTTTCAAAACAATTATGGACAAACAAGGGACTTGATCCCTTGTTTTCTTTCTAACAAAATGCGTTAAAATATCCCTAGGGACATTCCTTCATTTGTTCGGAAAAATTCTGAAGTACATCCTGTGTGAGTATCCCCCCCTTAATTGTTCCAACGATTCTCTTTTCCCTCTTGCCATTTTTCTAGCAGTCATTTTTAATCCAAAAGTAAAGATGTCTCAAGCAGGCAAAATAAAAAGATAAACCTCCTTTTCCCCCCTTTATTATTTTCTTGTTTCATTTTAGTAGCTCTGGATACTTTCAGCCACATGGCAACTAAAGTCACAACCTGATTCTTTACCTTATCTTTTTTTAATGCAGATTCCGTCAATTACATAAACATTTTAAGTATAAACAGTAAACACGTCTCTTTAACAGGTTTAGTGAAAAATTATATCAAAGCACATTCATCAAAAATATGTAATAAAAATAAAAATAGGAAAAAAGAAAAATACTGTTTATTTCTCCATGGAAAAACTTTCTTAGATCTTCTCTTATTTAAGGTGTTTACAAGTCTTGAATATTTAAATCATAGTCTTGTTCACTCTCATTTGTAATTTTGAAAGGTTTACTTCACCACAGAGTTTTATCTTTTATTAGAGCCGAGGTGGCGCAGTGGTTAGAGTGCAGCACTGCAGGCTACTTCAGCTGACTGCAGTTCAGCAGTTCGGCTGTTCAAATCTCACTGGCTCAAGGTTGACTCANCAAGGATGGTTTCTTCAGGAGGGGTTTCTTCAGGAGGGGTCTCACCACCGCCGCTAAAAGAATAGCCTAAATTCTTTTAAGAACAACAGATTACAATTCTAATATAAGCTATAAAACATGGACAGAGAAGATAAGCAATAGGCTTCAGGACCATGTATCATTTTAAATTGCTTTGAAATTTCATTAATTTTGTACAAATTAATGTTCTGGCACATATGCAAGTGTGTTTTTTTTTCAAATTTTCTTTTATAGCATTTTATTTGTCAGTCCCTTTTCAAATCATTGATGTACTGATAACAAACAGAGTTATGTGATTGTCAGTTAAAATAATCATGCGTATTTTCATATTCACTTATTTATATTCACCTTTTGCACCTTTTTATTTAGGTTTGAACATACTGAAGCAGTCCTATCTTTCGTGCTTCAGTTCCTGTTCTAGCAGAAATATGCTTCATTAACAGTTTCTAGAATGGCTTTCTATTTAAAACATGAAATGTATTTTCTGTATTGATTTATAACCTGCATATTTTCCATGAACTAATTTAAAGCATTTAGTTATTTAATGTTCATTTATTTCTCCTAGCATTCTCCGTCAGAACCCTTCCTAGAAAAAACAGTGCCAGACATGTCTCAGGTTAGTGGACCGAATGCCCAGCTCTTGAAAAGTGATGATTACCTTCCCTCAATTGAGCTGCAATCACAGCAAAAGAAAAAGAAAAAGAAAAACAATCATATTGTTGCAGAAGGTCCCAGCAAAGGATTTGGAAAGGAAGGCTTTCCTGGTGGCCTTGACAACCAGGATTCTACTAGAAAAGGCCTAGAAGGCTCCCAGGAAGAAAAAAAGAAAAAGAAGAAACCTAAGGTGAAAAAGGATCCGAAGGATTTGAAGGAACCCAAGGAGAAGAAGGAGCCTAAGGAACCCAAGACACCCAAAAACCCCAAAATCCCCAAAGAGCCAAAGGAGAAGAAAGTAAAACATACTACACCAAAACCCAAGACCAGCAAAAAAGCAAGGTATGGAAGAGAACAAATAGATCCAGTGAAATACTGTTTTGCAAGTTTAACATTAAATGTTTAAATTAGTGAAAAATGTTTTAAGAGTCATTAAAGCCCATTTTAAATTGTTTTATGTTGATTTAAAATTAACTAGCACAAACTAAAATGTTTTTATTGTGTGGTTTCCAAAATATATTGAATTATAGGCTGATTTGGACCCAGATACAGGGCAAAGAAACATAAACCTTAATTTCAATCAGAATTGCAAGTCTGACTTTGAAAGAGGAAGTTAATACAAGGACACTGACTTCACTAAGCTACTGATGAAAGAAATGTCCTTCTGGGTTCAGCTCCAAGTGGGGAAAAAGACACTGGAGACATGGAGGCTGCTTGGAAAGATGGTTTATTGTTGGACGGGGTCATATGGCTTGAGCCCTGAACAGAAAAGGTGACCACATGCTTCAATGTTGGTGGAGAAGAAGAGAAGGGCCGAAGGAGG